GGTGTAGAGTTGGAGTTCATTAAAAGGTGTTTTTGACTTAGATTTGAAGCACAGGTGCCTAGGGGAACAGTGAGACAGACCCAAGTGTGGGTATGGCCTTCTCAAGGGAGAGTCACACCTTGTCTTGGACAGGGCTGCACATCTAATCCCTGGGCTCTCTAATTCCCATCACTGGGAGAAAATCCTTCACAGCAAGTTAAATGTTAAAGCATTTCCTTTTATGGGGGAAGCTGTAAAGTTGATTTATGAGGGTGTGGTCAGGAAGTACCTAGGAGGGGTTACAAGTCCTGTGAGCCCAGGAAAGGCACTGTTTGCTTAGTTTACTCATTATTTTTAATGGTTTTGGCTTGAGATGTCTTAAGGCGGTTTTTTTTTTTTTTTTTTTTTTTTTTGGTTTTATCAATGGTGTGTGGAGCTTCCTGAGTCTGTCAGCAGGAGAGACGAACCAACCAGATCTCAGGAGGAAGGGTTTCTTTTCCCTCTCCCACCTCCTCAATCTTCTTTCTATCCTGCTGGTTAGGAGTGGCAGTCCTTGTCTAGTCTGGGGAACAGTTTCAGCTTCCTATCGTAGAATGTTGGCTAGGGCATTTTCATGAATAGATTTTGAATTTTATCTAATTTGGTGGGAGTATTTTTTTAATCATAAAAGTAAAATGCATCTTAAGAAATGCCTGTTCTACATCTGTTGAGATGGCCGGACGGCTTTTGCTTCTCCCTCTCCCTTGACACACAATGCAATTTTTTCATCAATTTGCAGACACCAAACCATCCTTGTATACTGGGGATGAATCCCACTTGGTCCTGGGTGTGACCTTCTTAACCTACGGTTGCATCTTGTTTGTTAGGATGTTGCTGAGGATTTTTTGAGTCTGTTCATCAGAGAACAAATTTGGGTCTTCATCCCCCTCAACCAGCATGGGCTTCCCATTTGAGCAGGCGTCTTGTCCTGTTCAAAGATGTTCAACAGTTTAGGGTAGACATCTGCAGAATACAACTATGTGGCCAGAATTCTGAGAAAAAGTGCTGAAGAAATAAGAAATGCCATCTGGTGTCATGGGGCCACCAGGATGTATGGGGTGGGAGGCAGCTTCTGCCTATTGTGTAGTAAGTGCTCCAGAGCCTGAAAGGTTGACCCAAAGGGGGATGGTCCACCCCAGCTGATGAAGTCTCTGAAGGGGACTAGATCTCTCTGAACCTTGATGTAGGCTTCACATCAGCTGTTCAGGGGAGGATCTGGACTGAAAGGCAAGCAGGATCTGGCAGGAAGCTTTGGAGGGTGCATTACTTCGTTGCAGCTTTCTTTTCTTTTTCTTTCTTTCTTTCATTTTTATGGGAGAGCATAAACACTCCCCCACCACCACAAATTATAGTCAAGATTCCCGCATTTGGGAAACTCTCAGGGATCAGTACATCCAGGGTGCCATGCCATCATGAGAAACCCGCCATCATGATCCTGGTGTCTCCCCACCAGGGAAGTATTCACTGCGGCCTCATAATAACAGTACAGTCCCCCCAAATGAGTAGTCTAAACGATGCAAAACAGAAAGACCCAAAACTGGGGTGACATGAGAAGGAAACCTTTCATCCTGATCTAGTTATTTTGTCCTTCCTGCTAGCACAGCCAGGAAGCTCCACACACCACTGATAATGCCAGAACTGCCCACAGAGATGATGGGTTTTTTTGTTTTTGTTTTTTTTTTCTAATGACATCTCAACCGAAAACATTAAAGACAAATTAAACCATGCCTACTTAGGATCAAAGTGATTTCTAACCTTGATTTTTAGCACTTCTTATTCCCATCAGCACCTGTTATAAATCCACTTTACAACTTTGTTCATAAAAGGAAATTCTTTGACCTCTCAACTTGCTGTGAATTACACAGAGAGATGGAAATTAGAAACACATGGGGCCAAGGAGTGACTGTCCCCTGAGAAGCCCATGCCCACACTTGAGGATGCCTCAGTCTTCCCCTGGGTGCCTCTCTATTAAGTTCTGTGCTGAAGGTCTATGCTTTAGGAGTCCTTCAATGAGCCCTGCTTATTGCTGGCCTGGCCTGATATGCTTCCATGGCAGAGCCAGGAATTCAGCTTCATCTGAGTACAAGGCACTAAGAGGGGCAGGGAACTCCCCAGGCTACACTTCCTGAAGTGCTGACTCCACCTACCTCCCTGCTGACAGAAGTAGCAGAAATTGATTGGCTCAGGGCTTTGAGGCAGAGACCAGAGGAGCCCAGATGGTTGGGTCCTTGTGAGGGCTCAGAGAGAGTCTGTCCAGGACTCTCCTGCCTTCTGTGCTTTGCAGGCATCTTGTGCTCATTGAGTAGTAGAAATGTCACCCTGTGAACACCTCTCTGAACCCACATGTCCCCTTGGTGTAAAGACATCAAGGTATATAGGTCTAATGACCTCATCTTTACTATTCATATCTGTAATGACCTTATTTCCAAATAGGGTCATAGTTTAAGGTTTCAAGGCTTGAACAGCAAGTGAGGTCAGGAAAAGGGGACACCATTCAACCAATGACACATTGGAAGAAAATCTGCCTTTTAATAAATGGAGTAAACCTGAATTTTCAGGAAGACATCTGCTTGAATGGCTCATAGTATAAACTACATAATGATGCAATGATCTTGTTTATCAAATACTAAATAGAAAAATACTTTACTTCTTACTCACACTAGATTCTCTCTCTAAGTGTACCAGAATGTTCCAGAATAGCTATCCTCCATTCCACCACTTAGTGTCCCAGAGCTGCTTCCACCCTCATGATCTTCCAAGAGAAACATAGATAGGACATGAGTTGCATCTGATTTGGGGTTTGTCCCAGCCTGGGTATGACACATTGAGCTCATGTTCATGTCTAATCAGGTCTATGATACCCATCTGCCGTTGGCTGGAAAGAGGGAGAAACAAGCAGAGCGCCTTGGTATCCCATAGCTTCTACTGTAGGGATGTCTGAAGGACTGGTGTCTTATGATTTACTTAAAGCCATAAGGCAACCGAAGCCTTATTCTTAGCAGAGGTTGGGGGGTAGTATTTACATTAGGAACTAAGGGTCTTGAATCACTGTATCCCGGAAGCCTGGAGAATAGAGGCATCATGAACCCAGGGAGCATTTAGAAGCCTAGTGCCAAACAGGTGAGAATGAGGAGGGACAGTGGTGGCGTGGAAAAAATCAAGAAGAGCAGCTGGATTTTTCCAGGTTTAAAACTTCATAAGGGACTGGTGAGGTGGTTCAGTCTGCAAAGTGCTTGCCTTGCAGTCCCAAGGACTTGAGTTCAAATCCCCAGAACCCATGGAGAGAAGCCAGATGTGACAGCACTCATTTGTCATCCCAGTGCTGGGGAGGGGAAGGTGACCAGATTCCTGAGACTGCCTGGGCTGCCAGACTGGCTTACTTTGTGAAGTCCAGGTCAATGAGAGGCCCTGTCTCAAAAAGCAAGGTGGGCAGCCCCTGAAGAACAATATCCAAGGTTGTCTTCTAAACTCCACACTCAAGCACACACACATGCACACATGTATATGCACACACACATGTATACGCGCACACACAGAGCTGCACACACACGCACCTGCGTGCACAGGAACAACCGCAGTTACACAACACGGAGAAGAAAGTCATCTGGGATGAGAGGGGGAGGAGCATGGAGGGAGGAAAAGAGAATCTGGAGGTGCTGGGCAGTGGGGGGCACAGAATCCACCCCACCCACTCCTTCCCATGCTAGACTGCACTGTGGGGACCCCAAGAACTGGACTCCTGCATTGTCCTCATCACCCTCCAGAAGTCTGTGCAGCCTTGAACCTTCACAGAGGCTTAGCATGGACTTTCTGAAACCCACTGCAGGGAGGATGGATGAAATGAACAAACACTCTTGAATCAATGTCCCCTTTCCTATGCCCAAATGTCACAGTTGATCAGGAGAAAGGAACATTGCAAACACTCTCACTCCCACCGCTGGACAAAGTCCTTGCCCACTCCTGGATGTGGCTGCTGGGAGGTGGCCTGTTGGTCACACCCAGATTGGATTATGGAAAGTTCCTCCTCCAGGAACTGAGCCGTTTTCTCAGCAGCTGGGGAGGTTTCAAAATCAGCAGGAATTTATGTCAACCCATGGCACGAAGGACTTTACAGCACTCACAAATGTCCTGTAAGATTATAAGGGGGGAAAGAGGGGATTTCCAAGGGCATTGGGTATGCCTATCTATGAGGCCATTATTTGCCACGCCCAGCTCTTCATCCCTGTGTCTCACCAACCCCAACCATGGAGGAGTAGCTATTTAAGGGCAGTTGGACTTCAGGAAAAACAAGACAGAACCTTGAACAAGAAACTGCAGCATCATCTGAGAGGTAAATGCCCTGAAACTCCTGCCCTGTGGCTACATTTGAGTGGTTGTGTAGGAGAATGTACGCATGTGTGTGCATATGGACATGCGTGTGGAAGTGAGCCCCCGTCATGTAAACATGTACTAGGCAGTATTTGTGTGCAAGTATGTTGTATGGGTTTGTGAAGGTGCTGAGGGAGAATTCAAGAGCATGTGTGTATCCATGTGATCTACACAGGGTTAGAAAGGCTTCCAAAGAGAATGTGCAGTTTTAGCTGGGGACAAGGACATTGGGAAATAGACTCCATAGGTGGAATTCCCAAGCCTTGAATCTAATGGAAGGATGCAGGTGGAGTATCTAAAGAGGAGAGGCATTGCCTTCAACCTCCCAAATTTGTGGAGTCTCTCAAGATGAATGAAGGGTACTATGTGTATCCCAGCATCATTGCTGTATGAGAAAGCATGCCACAGAGCCAGGAAGGGACAAGAGGTGACTTGTGTGATGCACTGTCAGAAGCCACTCTGTATGCACTCTGTGACTTAGCCCCATGTAAGAGCACTTCTGTGCTCCAGGGTTGCTAAATCAGACAGCAGGGCAGGGCCTGGGGCAGAGGCTGAGACTCCTGGGAGGAAATGCCCAGGCCAGGCCCTCTGCCTTGTTCTTCACAGACTGACAACATGAAGGTCCTCCTGCTGCTAGCAGCCTTGATCATGGCCTTTGGTAAGAGCTGACTCTGAACTCAGCAGGGTGGGGGGTAATCTGAGAAGAGAGGCACCCCATCCTCCAGCTTTACTAACCATTGCCCCAGCCCTCTCACAGTGGGAAGAGGAAGGCACCCTCTGTGGGGAGAAGGCAGTAGAGAGATGCCAATGCAGAGGAGGGGTCCAGGCTCACTGCCCTTTGCCAGCCATTTCTCCATTTCCTTTCAGGCTCAATCCAGATCCAAGGAAGCATTGTTGAGTTTGGGCAAATGATCCTGTTTAAGACAGGAAAGAGACCTGACACCAGCTATGCCTTCTATGGTTGCCACTGTGGCGTGGGTGGCAAAGGAACCCCCAAAGATGCTACAGATCGGTGAAGACACCCTCTCTTTTATTCACTCTGGCTGGGATGGGACTAGGACAGAGTTGGTACCTGCTGCCTCAGCGCCCTGGTGGGGACAGGACTAGGACAGACCTGGTAGCCTCTGCCTCAGTGCCCTGGTGAATCCCTGCCAGCAAAATAGTCAGCACAATGGGAACTCTGCTCTAGAGTTTGAGTCTACTCAGGGTCAAAGGTCAAGGGAAGTACTGAGGCACCAGGACTTCAGGGCTGTGAGAAGGCAGCCTCAACAGGATGTGTCCCCCAACCAGGTGCTGTGTGGCTCATGACTGTTGCTACTACCGTCTGGAGAAAAAGGGCTGTGGCACAAAATTTCTGACCTACAAGTTCAGCGCCCGAGGGGGCAAAATCACCTGCTCTGGTAAGAAAGACCCCAAGATGCCTGCAAGCTTCCCTCAGGTGTTTTTTTGAGCACACAAATGCTGGGCAGTTTGATGGAGCAGAAGGGGAATTTATCCCTGCATTAAGACCTTCACACAAGTCTCCAATGGGAAGGCAGAAAGAACCTTTGCACACCTGAGGCTTGAGGTGGATCCTGCAAGAGTCAGGGAGGCACACAGTGAGAGAGGAAGGTTGGGCCATCCCCCAAACAAGGCTCAGAAAGGGTCAAAGTGAACCACGCTGTGCTGCCCAATGGACACCTGAGGATGAGTTTCAGCAGTGAGACAAGGAAGGGACAAGGTCAAGCCAGGTCGTCCTGAACATTGTCTAGAGGTTTGTGGACCACAGCAGCAGGGACCAATTATTTGACAAAACAGCAAGAAAGACTTTGCAAAAAGAGGGCTCACCCAAGGCCAGTGAAGCTGGGATTCTTCACACAGCAGGTCTGTTAGCAAAGGGAGTGGGGCAGAGATGAGCTCAGTTGGCACAGTGTGAGCCTAGCACACAAGAGTCCCTGGGCTCTATCCCTAGCACTGTATACACTGGGCATGATTTAGCATGCCTGGAATCCCAGAGCTGAGGACGTGGAGGCAGGAAGATCAGAAGTTCGAGGCCATCCTCACCTACAAAGAGTTCAAGCCCAGGCTGAGCTACATGAGACCCTGTCTTTAAAAACAAAAACAAAAACAAAACAGTCATAAACTAGAAGAGGGTGTCTAGGAAGCGAGGCCAACCTTTGGCAATGCCATGCTTGGCTGCTGTGTCCCCATCAGATGAGGTTCCGTCTTCCTTGTCTCAGAACAGGCCAGTCCCCACAAGCAGCCATGGAATATTAGCAACCATCAGCTCAGTGTCTATTTTCCCTAATTTCAGCAAACCAGAACTCCTGTAGGAAACAGCTGTGCCAGTGCGATAAAGCCGCCGCTGAATGTTTCGCCCGGAACCGGAAAAGCTACAGTTTGAAGTACCAATTCTATCCCAACAAGTTTTGTAGTGGAAAGTCACCTAAGTGCTGAGACAGCTGCCGTCTTTTATATCTGGATACATTGTTTACGCTAGTAACCCCCCCACCCCCGCCGGCAGACCAGCCAAGTTCCCCCAATGATAAACACCCCTCTCCCACCCTAGAGGCATGGTAGGGGCCCTCCTGTCATGACCCAGAATGAGCCACCAAAGCCTGATGGGTTAGGCTGATCTTTCCCCAACACTCGTCTACCTTGAACTGACAGATTGCTCATGCCCACTTCCCCTTTGTCACCAAACTTCCTGCCTCAAAGTACCAAAGAGAGACTTGGAAAGGTCTTAGAAATAAAGTAATTTTTCAATGACCATGTGTGTTCTCTTAATGTGAAGTGAGACTGATGTATAAAGCATGTAAAAGCTAAAGGTACAGGTTTTGGAGCAGAGGAGATCACTCAGTTCATAAAGCGCTTAGCATGCAAGCATGAAGTCCTGTGTTCAATCCCCAGGACCCACAATACATAAAGCACACACTTGTTAGCAATCCTAGAGTTGGGGAAACAAAGACAGGTGGATCCCTGGGGCTCCCTGGCTAGCTAGCCTATTTGAACCAGCAAGTTCCAGGCCGCAAAGAGACCCTGCCTCAAAACTAACATCCATGGCGTCCTGAGGTCCTACACCTGAGCTTGATCTACAACCACCACACATAAATGTGCATACATATATGCATGTATGTGTGGGCACATGCTCAGACACAAGCACACACATGCACACAGAAGAACAGACTTCCGGGTCAGTCTAGCTGGCTCCAACCATAAGTACCCCACCACTTAAGCCCTGATTCTCTTATTCAAGGGGAGAGACCCTTGTTGGAGCCTCTGCTAGGGTTTGTTTGGGAATTAAGAGGGGAAACAGAAGTCAAGCAGTGTTTGAACACTATAGCTGCCATCCCTGTCAAAGGCAGGCCTCCATCCCCCGTCCCCAGGCCAGAGCCATTTTTCCTGGCCTGTCTGGGGCATGTGGAGGCCTAAGCTGGCAGAATAAAGCAGAGTTCTCCTGTCAAGGTGCCACGACTTTGAACTAAAAGAAAACAGAAATTGTAGAAGACGGCATCTTGTGCCTACACGCCTGACACAGATCTACTCCCAGAAGACTGCCAGAGCCACGGCGTGTGCAAAGCTGGCCACCTGGCAAAAATAGACTCCTGTGCCACCCACACTTGTCAAACTGAGAAGCTTTGCACAGATCCTTAAAATGCCCTGACAGCTCCTCAGATTCTCTTTGCCTGTGAAAGAGCAGTCAGAAACCAGCGAGAGCCCCCAGTTCTGGGTAGGTCCTTGGGACCAGGGTCGATAAGTAAACACTCCCAGTCATTTGTGTCTGTTGTTCCCTCTGCCTATATTGAATCTGATAACCTTTACACTTATATCAAGATAAAGACAAACAAATTTTAAAAAATTGAAACCCTGGCCAACCCCCAGATGAAAGTTTCTCTTTTGACATTTTGGCCAATTGAAGAAACAATATTCAATTCCCCCCACAACCAAATAGTGATCTTACAACTTACAACAACTCCTTGGGAACCCAGGCACCTAAGGCACCCTTCTCTGAAATGAAAGCTTGGGACGGGAGCCTTGGAATGAGAGCTTCATGAAGTTGTTCTGCCCTTTCAAGTCACCCTGATGCCGAGGTCTGATCCTTGTGCAATAGTAAGATCTCTGGCATGAAAAATCAGTTTCTTCTGCCACGCCCACACAGAGACTGCCAACCACCTTTCAAAACTCACCCCCCAAAATGCTTCCTGCCCAAACTGAAGAGTCAAGCAAACCATCCAAGCAAAACAAACAAAAAAAAATGATTGGGATGAGCATGGGGCAGGGGTAAGGGACGTTGGCGGGCCATAAAGATGGTTTAGTGGATAAAAATATTTATTAAACAAGCCTGCCAACCCCAGTTTGATCCCTAGAACTGCCACAGTGGAATGGGAGAAAGTTGTCCTCTGACCAACATGTGTGCAGTGGCAGGCACCTGTGTGCTCATACTCATGCATCATATGTATTGACATAAATAATATATATGCTATATATATAGTAATCCAATTAATCTTAAGAGGCAATTATTATTGTTATTGAATTCAGGATGCTTTGGCAGTGTGTTATCCTCTAGTGCTGGCTAACATGTAAACTGAGTGAGTTCCAGGAAAACCAGATCTATATGGAGAAATTGTGTCTCAGGAGAATAAAAGAAAGCCACCCTCACTGTGCGAACTGGACAGAAGCTAGACTCAATCCAGCAGACAATGCCTGTGTATATTGACCACTAATTGACATGGGAAGACCCATCTTCATTGTGGTACTAGGGAGCATTCTTTGTTCTCTTCTTGTGACTGCCTCATGCTCCTGGAGCCTTGATATCCCCACCAACAATGAACTTACCTTGAACTGGGAGCCAGAGCACACACCTTCTCTCCTGAGATAACTCTGTCAAGACTACAAAAGGAAAAGAAACTAAGACAGACACCGAGAGGCTAACCCGCTGTGTTCCGTTACACTGGGACTACAGGCATGCTCCCTCATGCCCAGCAAGCAGGTCTGTGTCCGTAATTACATTCTTTATAATTAGCGTTTATACTCATGGGCTTTCAGACGGTTCCTTGCCCTTGCCTTGTGCAGCTGACACTTTCCCTGATCTGGAAGGACCGAATCAGATGCTCTGTGCTTTCCAGTCAATGTCCTATCCTCCTGGTGACTGTCACTCTGGGTAGGGGGCAGAGGGATAATAGACCATCCTTTTCTTTATCCCCTTGCTGCCACCGTACATGGGTACTTTGCTCAGCACCTTGTCAACAAGCACCTGAATCGGCAGCACTCACTGAGACGCTCGTCCCGAGGCATGACCTGCCACCCAGGAATAAGGACATGAGAACAGGAAGGAATGAACTTGAAGGTCAGGACACAGCCTGCATTGTTCTCACGTTTCTCACCAAGCAGTGATTTGGGACAGTTGTCACTTTGACAGAAATGGAGATGTCCTAGGCAGACACTTGTGCCCTGCTCTTCAATGAAGGTCCCCAAAAGGTGGAATTTCCCCGGTGGCTCAGCCTGGTTCCTTAGGGCTGCCAGGTCCCGGCTTCTGACCCTAAGGGCTCTGGAGACATCCTCACACCCCTGGAGCTTCATCACCTCAGAATCAAGGAGGAAAACAGAAGAAAAACACAGTCTAGAAAGTTCTCTAGCTGGGTGCAGTAGCTTAAACCTGTAATTCTAGCACTCAGAGACTGAGGAGGAGCCTGAACCTGAGACCAGCCTAGGCTACAGAATGAGAGAAAGGAAAAGAAACAGCTTCCTCCAGCCCCGCCCACTCCGACCCTGCTCATCCTCTGCCTCAGGACCCACAGGCTCACTCCCCAGAACTGCACCCCGTGGTCCAGGTTGTCCCCAGCTTCCTTCAAGGCTTGGCATAGGATCTTTCAATATTTCCTCAGATCCAAGCTCTTCTCTCAGGCCTGTCATTCTGCCAGACTGATTTTGGCAAAGGAGCCAGGAGCCTCTGTTAATTTGCAGTCTTGGCACACAAAAAGAGGGGTGTGGTGTACAGTGCAGGATCGTGTGTATAATTTAAAAGTACACACAGTTACACAAACACTGAATCCCTTTCAAGGAACCAAGCATCTAAATAAAATAGGTGGCTCCAGTGGTGGAGCGAGGGTGAGAGAGGAAAAGGAATGCAATACAGAAAAACCGTGTCTTCCACCAGCCAGTGAGAAGAGCTTGCTGTGACGAGAGACCACTTCTCTGATCTTTCAGTATTTACCTCGATATCTGAGTCCAGGTTTTTATTATTAAGACCAATTAGAATTCGTGCACATCTGGCACCCAATGTGGGGCACAAACTCATGAAAATGCTGCTTGCCTGTGTATTTGCAGACACTGGCACATGCCTGTGCTCCATGTGGGTGGTGCCAAAGGAGTTACCACCCCCCAGCCGAGTTAGCCTCTCTTTTTTCCTAATCCTCTAAGCAAGTTTGGGATTTTTCTGTTGTAGCCTCTCTGCAGCAAACTCCACAGGCATTCAGCCTCCAAACATTGGGGGAGTTAGCTGCATTAGCAAGTTCCCCTTGTAGTCAGTCAGCTCTTTAAGCTTCTTTACTCCCATTGGCTGTGGGCTTTCCCTGGACCCTTTTCTCAGGCTGCTGCCAAGCAAGGTAGCTGCTTTGAAAGCCACTCAGGCTTCCACTGTTCCAGGTAGTAGCAGTCAGCCTCACATTTCACCATCATCAGAATCATCATTCATTTTTGGCAGATTTGGTGAGACAATTGTAAATTCTTAAAGGGAGGAATTAGCTAAAAGACAGAGTTATTTCCCATATTAAAATAGGAATCAGTGATACAATGGAGGGAGTCAGGTCTCTGTGTGATAATATGCTGAGCAGTTTGAAAATGGACAATTAGATGAGAAGGTAACTAGTTTAGATGATTGACTTACACAATGTCAATCATAAACACTACCAGTTTTATCATTTTTGTTTTATCACTAAAAATGTTGATTATTATGAGTGCTAAGATATAAGTTTTAGAAAAACTTAATAAATCAGATCATAGAGATATTCAGACCCAGACAGCGGAACTTTAAAAGGAACCAATTTTGGCATTGCATTATAAAGTTAGAGAGGAACAGCCTAAGGTTTTCAAGCAAACAACTTCAATTTATTCAGTAACCTTACAGGAATTGCCAAATGATAGATATCTCTAAGGCTGTGTAAGAGCTGATTTGATCCTGTGGAAATGATAGATTTCAAGGTTCTTGTGTCATCTGTTGGAAATTTGAATACAACATAAGCTATGTTGTGGATTGGAAGTGATAGTCTCGTATGGCATGCATTCACCTTTTGTGAAGCAGATGTGAAACTTGTGGTCAACTTGTAATGGAATTATCCCTCAAGACTTGAGTCTTGGTTACAGCAGTCTTGGAGCCTGGTCCTCAATTACAATGAAGGGCCCGGTGGAAACATAAGGCTAAGACCATTGAACAATGAAGTGTGGCAGTCTCCCACAACCAACTTCCTAAAGAGGGAGATTATGTTAATGTACAAAGGCAATCTCTATATGATGACCAGATGCTGGCTTCATCCTCCCAGCAGCTTTGACTGCTTGGGACAGAATTGAAAAAGTAGGAAAGAAAATTGAGTCATTTACTAAAGTTATACAGGGCCCAAAAGAAAATGTCACTGATTTCTTACAAGGATTGACTTCAACAGTATATAGAATAATATCAACTTCAGAAGCTAGAAAAATAATAATTGAATATCTGGCTTT